GTGGAAGCACTGGAGTGCCACGTGTCACCATTGAGGAACGACGTGAGATCTTGGAACTCAGGCGTGGTCAGACCTTAGAAGTGCGGTGTTCTGCCCAGGGTAGTCCTCGTCCTCAGGTGCTCTGGTCTCATGGGCCGAACCGCGAACGACTTCCCTACAATGTGAGTATTGACCTGAAGTGGGCTATGGAAGGCAGGAAGGCTGCAAGAATTAGCTTTTAGTCTCAACTTTTTCCTCTCAGTGCAGCAGAGGTAATTTGATGTTTATGTGATTGGTAAAATGATATGCTTATCATTACTTAGTCTTAAATGTTATTTTATTGTTCATAAAAAAGATTGTCCAACGCATGTATTCTGATGATATTTATGTTTTCACAGGTACAGCAACAGAATGGAGTGCTCATCTTCCGCAATGCTGATGTTTCCAGTTCTGGTGAATACTACTGTACAGCAACAAATTCCGAGGGAACAGATTATGCTCGCATCATCATCAACGTGGTCGAGGCAGGAACTCAGACACTTCCAGAACGAGTACCTCTGATCATTGTGCAGGTGAAGGAGCTCTTTATAATTAAAAAGAAATTTATTAGTTTGTCAATTTTTTAGAAACTGAAGGCAAAAAGCTGTTTGTAAGTTTCATTTATAGTATAAAAATATCACTAGAAACTTGAGTCATTTATACACTGCATTAAATGCCTTTTATAGAAATATCAAGTGAAGAATAGAAACACCTTTCCCTTCTCCTTTCCTTCTTTCTCTTTTCACCTTTTTAGAATCAACATAAACAAGACTTTCTTACAGCTTTCTGAACAAGAGGTCGAAGTGAATGCTGGTGAGACTGTCCGTGTAAGCTGCAGTTCTTCCAGCCCAGGACAGTTGAGAATCGAATGGAGTCGACTAGGAGGAACTCTGCCATCAGTGAGTGTTTGAGAATTTTTTTTTTTTCTTGTAGTCTACTTTTTGTTTCATTATGATGATTTATGCCTGCTCTCAGAGTCAATAAAAGAGATAGAATGTTCATATCAGATATGTTAAAATGGTACTGAAACTAAATTGCCTGAAATTGCTTTTCCTTTTACTGTAATTTCCTCTATGGATAAATTATGTATATTCATCAAGATTAACTAATTCAAGATTATAATGCACACAATAGTATCTAATCCTTCACAACATGCGAAATATTAGATATACAACATTATCAAAGCAATGGATACATTAATACAGTAAACTAGAATATGAGTTTTAGATAGATATGAATTGATTGTGCTGTTGGTACTAGAAAAGAATGATTAAGTTTTGGTTAATTTTCGTGGATTTTTCCCTCCTTAGCAATCATCTCAAAGGAATGGACTGCTGTCAATTCCAAATGCACGTGCTGTTGACTCAGGTATTTACGTGTGCCGCATCAGTGACGAGAGGTCCAGCTTCTTTGAAGAATCCAGCACTCGCATTACAATCAGTGAGACATGGTTAGTGTCAGAGAATGTTTAATCTTTCATGGAACCCCCTACTCCAATAAGGACAATCCAGTTATGATATTATGATTTTTTTTTTTCTGAAGTATAGCATTTTGATTACTGCATAAATTTCAGTATTTTCCACCAAATGTATAATATCTTCATTGTTTCAGCTAAGTATTTTAGATTACAGTATAATATGTATATGAAACAGTTTGTTACTCAGCACAGTTTTACAGCATGTATTTATTCAGTGATAGCCACATAAGGAAAGTTAGTTTAGGAGTATATTATAGGGTGCAATTGGCTGCAATTGGCAAGTGGCTCAGTCTAAAGGGTTAAAGGTGCTTGAAAAAGTTTCTTACTATGGTAGGGAGACAGGGATAGTGAAATGCCAGATATTAACTTGGTAAAACCATTTGTAAATTTATTTAATTAAACCTTGATGTGTTATACAGAATTACCTTAGATACACATTGCACTAATTGCATATATTACCTTATTTCACAAGATGTTGATAATGAAAAGTTTGGCTGTAACTGAAGATAAACCACTGATTGGCACTTCTTTTTTATTAGTCAGTGCAATATAACTCCATAATGTTTCAGAATTTTAGATTAGCTGAGGAACTAATATCTTTTCAAACCATATAATGTATTTTGTTTATCAGGAAACAACTATACTACAGTTAAGTAAACATGTATTATAGTGAATAGATTTCTATAACGATACTGTGTTGCTTTGTTCAAAAACTTTAGTAAACATATCTGCAAAGTATTATATATCTATATATGACTGAACTTAGTGGGCTAAAGTGCCCAAGTACTGCCCTGCTGTTTGGGAGTTCGAAAATCTCAACT